AAGAAAATGGAATATCAAGGTGATAACAAAGAAAAAAAACAAAACCTCACCAGTCTGCTATAGCAACACGAAAAGATTTATAAACAGGATTGTTCAGTCTATCGCATAAAATGCGGGAACCATTTTAGAATAGATGAAGAAGCAAAAAGAGAGCTGAAAATGGAAATCATTCCAACAATCTTGGCGCATCAAGAACCTGTGAATAGAAACAATAGTACCAAGTAAGCTAGAGAATTAAGAATAAACGATCAAGTAGTCCTACAAGCTGACAAAGGTGCCACATTAGTGGTATATAGGAAGGAATATACAGAGAAAATGGAAAATATGCTCGGGGACACTACAACTTATCGACTGCTAGAAAAAAAGACCCAACGATTAAAATCAAAGGGGCACTTCAAGAAATGCTGATGGAGATGAATACGAACGGTGAAATCGACAAATGGACAATGAGTTTACTCCTAAGAAAGAATGCAAGAGACTCAGTAGCATACGATTTGCCGAAGGTATACAAAGGAGAACCATTGGAACTGATAGTCAAAACCAAACACGGACCAATGCAAACATGCTAAATTTATCTGCCTCAAATTAAAGAAAGTGAACGACAGATTATCGAATATAATGGAATCAGTCTGAAGGGGAACTTAATTTTGGTGAGCTTTGATATACAGTCCACGTACTGAAATTTATCGGAAGAAAAAGCACTCAGGGCACTACTGGAGATCATGTAAAAAGAAGATGACATCCTAGAGACTGAGCGGATCCTTAAAGAGGCTCTGAACGAAAGCTAAGTTTCGAGACTACCAGTAAATCAGTTATATGAGAAATATGCACCCTATTTCGTTTAAGGTGATGAAAGACTTGTAGTAGAATTTTCCCACAATGATATGATTAGAGCTGACATTTCCATTGCCACAGGTGGCAATGAGGCTTATGGTTAAAGTGTGAAGCTAACATGCTGAACTGTCACAGTTCGATCCCCGCTAAGGCCATTGATAGGACCTAGGTGAGGTCAAAACTGCAGTCCACCCTGGATGAGAACTTTTGTGAAAGCAAGGCTATGTGAAATTCAATGGAAATGTCAGCTTTACTTATATCATCGTGAGAAAATTCTACTACAAGTCCTTCATCACTGTAAACGAAATGGGGTGAAATATCTCATAGTTCTATCTATGTCTAAAATATGGCATACTAAAGCTCGGCTGGTTTTCACTTTAACAAAAGAAAGTCTGCGATCAATAAGAAATGATCAGCAAAACCAAACAACAGCTGTACAGTGATTTGACCTCGTTTTCATAATTTGGTTGTGTAGTCAGGTGGATATCGATGAACACACCTTGGATTGTGTCACTCGTCGCAGCAATCATAATTATTATTTCTAGCGATGGATCGTTGTTTATTTCCAACAAGAAAACAGTGTGGCAATGGATGCCGGACCAGGTGAGTTCACCGGTCACTCTGGTCACTAGTCGCCAAGCTGCGAAAGCAGAGACTGTGACCAAAATGGAGATCACACTATTTCGGCCTTCATACTTTCGATCATACAATTTGCTAAGAGAAACCTGACACTCTCCTGATGACAGACAACTTAGCAATTTGTAAAAATTGAAAAAAATCGACTCACCTTGCATTTGTCTTCCTGAATCCACTGCTCTTGAACTCTACAGCGTTGTTGGTCAGTCATTCCAGCATGATAAGCCTCCGCGGCCAAACCAGCGGCCTTTAACTCTTGAGCGACCTTCTCGCACTCATTTCTTGAAAGGCAGTAGACAATGCCAGAACGACGAGGAAATTCAGAACGTACCACATCAATAATTTCTTTAGTGCAGTTCTTTGGCTTTTTCGGTCTAACCTCGAACTTAAGGTTTGCTCTATTAAAGCTCTGAATAAACCTAAAATGATATTTTAAGTAAGATATATTGAAGGGCCGAAGGGAGGCATAAAAAATTTTGCAAAGAAAATATAACCTCACCACTTCGTGTTTCTCATTTTAAGTTGGCGAATAATATCCTGTCGCACTTTGGGTGTCGCAGTTGCCGTCATCGCCATCATTGGGACGTTGGGGAATGAAGCTCTGAGGAAACTAAGATTTCGGTAGTCCGGCCTAAAATCGTGCCCCCACTAAAAATAAAAGCAAAATGGAAATGAGTTGCAAATTAAAAGCTAAAGGCCAGAATGTTGTGGCCTCTATTTCGATCGCAGTCTGCTTTCGACGTTTAACAGTGGTCTGACCTCGCTTTCGCAACTTGCCTACTTAATTGGACGTATCTTGTTCGAAGTGCTCTGCTGTATTAGCTATCATAATTCCCAGCACCGGACCGTAAACCTGGTACAATCCCAGAAGTTTCGCCAACATCGTCAGAAATTCTTGTCATTCTCAGCACAAAGCTAAAACTCGTCAGATAGATGAATCAATTCGAACGGCCGTGGTATCAGTTCTCTTTTTTTCCTGGCCAATCTACCTAC